AATTATATAGTCGCACAACATATTTTCAAGATCGTCACAAAGTGATAAACGTGATAAATTGAACTTCCATCATGCTGTTTTTAGCATCTATAAAATTGTAATAATAATGGCATTATTTTGCTCATATGTTTGACAATTAAAAGGATTATCCAGTTTAGGAGTTTCACCCATAGTTTAGGCAATTTTTGAGTTTCACCATTAGTTTAGGAGCCTAAACTCCTAATGTCTGTGGGTGAAACTATTTTGGATTTGTTGAAATAGTTTCGCCCACCATCATTAGGCAAGAGAATAGGTGTGTAGTACTCTCTCACCCAAATTTTCATCTTGCAATTTCCACTCTGTAATAGGAATTTTCATCTTTAAACATTGACCACAAGTAATAAAATAATCTTCTTTAGCTTCCCTCTCACAACCACATGTAACAAAAGATTCCCAAATATCAGCACTCTTGCCACATTTCACAGTTTCCTCATCACAATGGTAACAAAAAGCTTCAAACCAAAATTCTTGTTGTTTACTTTTATTTTTGAAATTTTTAGAAGTGTTTAGATAAGCAATTCCCCAAATATATGGTTCCCAGTACTTATTAATATTTTCATCTTTGAGAAGAAGTAAGTATTCCCCATGTAGTGGTTCCAGTACTTATAGAATTTTTATTGAAAAATAAAAGAACTCAAGCATGATTGTTACAGATCCTACTATATAGAAAAATTGTTGTGTTTTTGAAGTAAAAACGCAAGCACAATCCTTATAGAGACTACTAAGATTGTGTTTGATAAAATTATTTTGAAGATTTGTCTTTGTTTTGTTTAAGATTGTAGGTCTTTGCTTATATAAAATTCTTTAATTTTTCAATGCCATCTTTGTTGGAATTAATAATGTTGTTAAATAATATGTTTATATCCTCTAAGGATGAAAAACTCTTACTACACATTTTGAAGTTTTTAAAAAATATGGAAATTAAAATTACACAAATAACATTTTTTTTAATTTTATTAAATTTTCCTTACTAATTTATACACTTCTAATTTTTCTAACAAATGAACTGTTTTATCATTATTTTCAAGATTCCAATTACTTTGATAAGAATGAGAATGGGAAATAAAATCATAATAACAAAAAGGGTCATTATTAATGCTGATAACTATTGCAAAACTTTGAAAATTTATGAAACATTCATGAAATTTTATCTCATCTATGTTTCTATCAATCTTTTCCCTATTATGATATATTGCACCTAGAGGGTTTTCAACTCTACTTAATAATGAATCATTTATTTGATTTTCATCAATTTTGAAAGTAAAACTTTTGTCTGTTTCAATCCAATAACTTTC